CCTTTAAGCCTTAAGAAGAACAGCCGGAATTCCCATTTAATAGGCTTACAAACAAAGAAGCCTCCAGTCGATTGGTCTACTGGCCATCACTCCATAGAAAATGGCAATTGATTTTCTAAACTTTAATGGAATAACGACAAAAACTGAAGCACACTTTTCCGCTTGGTGTGTCCGTGAATATTATGCTTTTTGTGAAGCATCTGCATTCCATCAAACTCCATCAAACTCTGTTCATCGGCGTCTCTTTGGCAATCGATAACCACAAATGATGGGGTCAACACCTCAGTGCCACCAATACCAATCCAATCCATGTTCAATGCTCGTGAAATCCCGTTTCACGTTTTTTGTGCCCCTAGGCCCTGTGTCTGGGTCTAGCCTTTAGTGTTCCGTCTGCCGTGACCATCAATTAAATTCATTGCCAAACAAATATTGTACAAAGGAATTATAAAAGCAGGCGAGGAGCGTCTGTCGAGAGACACATGTTCCACAGTGGCCCGTGTGTTGCCGACAGATGGACGAGAACAAGTACTGGGACCCAGAGAGCCATCGGAGAGGTGCTTGTTTTTTTTTTGGCTTGGTCCGACTGCCAAAACCAACATACAAGCCAAAAGAGATGCCAGCATTGTGTTGATTGAATGTGCAACTGTCTGCCCGTTCCCCCAGCATTGCCCCAGCGTTGGCCCAGCATTGCCCCAGCGTTGCCCCAGCATTGCCCCAGCATATCCCCAGTATCCCAGTATCCCTTTGCTGTTTTTGCCACGTAACAGGCGTCGTAGAAAAAACGATACAATTTGCGCCGACATTCAGTAAACAAAGGCTGCCCAAATATCTGCTGGGGGAGGACCGAAAGGGGACTCCAATTAAAGTTTTTATACTGTTTCCGGTCTGCACTAATGCTCGAACAAGCATGTCCCCAAGCTGCAATCCCCCACGCAGTAATTACGTTAATTTTTTTCGAATGTCTCTCTCGATATTCAGATCTTTCAGGATCTTCCAGTGGACGGGCGACTGTGGAGACTGGCGGCAGATTGGAGTGAAAGCCGGTCGATGGCAATTGTAATTGAAAGTTGTTGCTTTTGTCTAACAAGTCCATACGCAGTCTTAATTTTCTTCGGAAAACACTGAACCATATTGCGGCTTTGTCTTGAGACAAGGTTTTGCATATTGTTTGGAAAATAAATCGTGCAAAAATAGCAAAATAAACACTGACAGCAGAGTGGAGCAGTGGAGTGTTGTCGGAGGGGAAATGCACTCATAAGATATACTAAATAAATGAAATGCATGAAAGTAGACAGCAAACGCTTTCCACTTCATTTCCCAGAGTCAACATAATAGAGGAAATTCGCTGAAAGCTTTCAAACGAGAAAAGCATCAACCCGTTGAACGAATAATTTCCTGTTTAATTCTCAGCAGAATGAAATGCAGCAAATAATTTATGAGGCAGCATCCAGAAAATTGCCTTGAATAAATATTTTTCCATACGGGGCCACCAAATTTTTTGTTTGCTCTCTTCCTTTTTTTTGAGCTCTGTAATTAAAAGTGTGCACTTAAAACGTGGCACATGATGAGGGACTTTACCTGCTTGCTCTTTCCCAATTGAGCGAAACATTAGAAATTTCTGTTTGACTTTTAAAACGATGATGGCATCGGCCCGAGGCCCTTTCTGGCCAAATTTCCTTCTATGGCATGTTGAATTTTCATCACAGAACTCGAGCTGCAACTGCTGCGATTCGCATCATCCATATTGGAGTAGGTAATAAATAAAATATCAGTGGAATCTCGTATCTATCAACCCGGCTGCTATTATCTACTGGCCATATGTAGATGCCACCATCTCTAGCGCGACCTCCACCGCCATCGCCATCGCCATTTCCATTTAATGCCTTTTTCGCTGACATTTTAAAGGGAATTATACACTATTTAAGTGCATTGAAATATATGTATATTCGGTGTAGAACTTTCTGTAAGTTGTTATTGTTTAATTGGCGGACAAAAAGTTATAAAGAGCAAAGTTTCTGAAACGAAACACATAATACTCGTAAATTCTTTGTCGAATGCCTAAGAACTTGACAGGCAGCGGCAGCAGCGGAGAAAATACAGATAAAAGATCTTAGTGGCTATTTTATGGTTTAAATACTTTGTGGCTTGAAACTTGAAATAATGCAACGACATAAAACAAGAAAAGACGCCCAAAATCTGCAGCCGACTCAAGGGGATTTAATGCTGCCATCAAGCCATCCCTCAGTAAACCTTTTATCAGCAGGCAGTAGGGAAACTTTTTGTGTTATTTTCGTGTTTTCTCCCTTTGGAAAATCCTTCATAGATAAAGCGGTATTTTGCACTTGCAGAGCAAGACCAAGAGCAAGAGAGATGAGAGGGGAGAGGGAGAGCTGCGAAGGCACGCAGAAAAGTTTATAAAAATTTTATTACATTGCTTTTTATTTTGTCGAAATCTGGGAAATCAAGAAAGCCAAGCCCATATGCAAAGCAAAGCTCTCGCTGACAAGTTAAGTGGTCTCTGAGCAAAGAACGGCTTCGGCTCCAGGAACAGGCCCCAGGACGCAATCGTCATATGGTGCACACGGGCTTGACATTATTTTCATTGTCAATAAATTTGAGTTAGACTTAGCCTGTCTGCGGCTGAGCTCTAAGTTGGCATCCCGCCCTTTTAAATATTTTAATCTTTATAAAGCAATGAACTCACCCCACTATTGCGTTTCTGTTGTTTCTGTTTAATGCCCAAGCGCATCTTTGACTTTTATGAATTATTCAGTGGGCATATTGTGGGCCGTACCTATAATTTATTTACTGGGGATGCTATGCGTGACATGAAGGACACGAAGGACACGAAGGACGTGAATGCCCCAGATCACAAACAATTAATCAATTATGCAGCGTCGGCCAAGCCACGAAAACAAATCAAAGCTAACGAAATACATTGTTTTCGGTAGGACTTTTGGACTTTTCGACTTTTCCCCATCTGACAGCTGACAAGATGACAAATTTCGGACCGTGAAACTTGTCCCTGATTGGCACCGCACTGCCAACCGTTTCTCTCTCTATTCTCTGGCATGTAAATTATGTCCAAGATATTGGGTTCTTTTGATTGCCTCCATTCCCAATGCCATTGCCATTTTGGCCGAAAAAAAAACCTAATTGACTGGCTTTAAAATTAATTTTTTGCTGTGAACCTTGAACTGAACCTTCAAAAACGGAACCGTATGTATATCCATGCTGTGGCCTTTTGGCCTCTTTTTTCTTTGGGGCGGAATGTTTGTACGTGATTGGAATGGCGAATGCCATGAAGAATAAGGGAAAATTGCTTACGAATGCCGCTGACAGCTTGTATAATGTAACAGAAAAGCCTGAAATGAAACGGAAAAGTAATATTGCTCAAGTGTTGAGCAAGATATTGTTGCGGTTACCCGAGTAAACGTTCGAAATTGGGAGAGCAAGAGGTCTTTCAACTCGGGAAGGTTCCCTTACAATATTTATAATGAATTAAAGTCTCTGTCGATCGGTTATTCGCCATTTGGCCGGACTGATTAATTGGCGCCCCATCAAATCGGCATAGCTATTGTCTCTTCGCCGGTTTCAGACATCAAACATAAGTGACATTCTTGCTTTTTTAATTAACAAACATTTGCCCGTCAATGCACATTAAAAGCCGCTCTGCTGGAAAAATCTTCATTAAACACTTGACTTTTGGATGGGGCTCCTTGCTTTGTTGCTTCAGATGGAAAGCGTCGGCAACTATGGCAACTATTTGCGGAGAGGAGGTTTTCAATTCAGAAAAGTTGTCGCATGACTTGCGCAAAACTTTTCCTCCAGAATGTTTGAGTGTGTGTGTGTGACTGTGGCGGGAAGGGGGGGGGGGGAGGGAAACTGCAAAACAGTTTCCCATATGACGATGATGATGAGGGGGGGCGGCGAATGGCAGTCCGAGATGGTGGCACTTAACGGCAACACATGGGGCTGTCGTTGCTTGAATTAAATTTTATATTCCTTTTAACTTTGCGTTATACTTAGTCAAAGGCGAAAGCCAAAAGCCCGCAGAACCAACTTTTGCCAACTTATTAAAGCAACGTTATTATACACATATACGAGTACGAGTACGAGTACTCGTCTGTGTGTGTGCGACTATGTGTATGTGTCTTGGAATTGACGAAAAGTTCCGTCATTAACATAAACTTTCGTCAAAGCACACAATTTTCCAGTGGCACACAGAAAAATACCGCTCAAAAAGGAGTAGCATATTCCTCTTCGCCGATCCAGCGGGTCCTGCATTCATAGATACTCCTCCCGTCTTTGGCCATAAACCCAGATCATTAAACGGAACACCCTTGACATACATGTGTGGGTGTGTTTGTGTGTGTTTTACTTACCCATCTATCATTCTAATTCATTGGCAATCATCTATTGGCATTGGCAGATCTCAGCCATTACTTGGTCGCTGTCAAAATTGAATAGCGACCCGAGCACAGGGAAAGCAAAGGCATTGCATTCGGCTGCTGTGTGCACTCGTATGTGGCAGCAACGGAAATGAGGTCGCTGCAACGAAGGTGCAGCTCTGCAGGAAGCAGCCCCAATCCAGTTACTAGGCGCGGAAATGAAACACGCTCGTGGGCCGAAGGGACCTGCTGAGGGTGCCCTTCCACCTGGCAGTGGGTGCAAATTTTAGTTGAATTTTAATCTACAGCCAATTTGGGTCCCTCGATGGGGTAAATGGCTAAATGAGAGGCTCCTGGTTTCCCTGTTTAATCATAGAAAAGAAAACACTATTTTCGATACGTTTTACAATTTATTTATTTACTTTACTTTTTCTCATAATTTAATTAATGTTTATGGTTTTTATATATACTCGAGTCTAAGTTGTTTACTTCAATTTAATTACACTTTTTTTGGTTGCTCTCTTGATGCGTAAATCCATCTTTGCTTTGCCTGTTTTCGCATCTCAAAGTAAATGCTGCATTTACTTTCACAATAGAAATATGTTCTTGTTTGTCTGTTTATGTTCTTCATAGAATGAATAATAAATTATATATTTAAATAATTACAATAAATTGCATAACAAAAATGAGCCCCCTTCCCTTCTATGATTTCGCTCATTGTTCGGTTCGAAAACACACTCGAATATGGTATAGGTTTTCGATATTTTCACAAAATTATACACTTTCAATATTATTTGAATGTTGAATATTTTCTTTTTGTTTTGTTCGATTTTAAATATGTATGAGCTTTAATTTTGTATGATTTGTATTTTCAAAATGGGTCGTCGATTGCTGTCGTATCCGTGTGCCGTATGCAACAAAAGTATTGAAATTTCCGTTAAAAAATGACAATTTTATTGCAACGTCCACACGTCCTTCAGACAATACATTTATCTGATTCGTTATGCGTACTCGTATATATGTATGGTAGTATATTTATTACTATTGTTTACTATTACATTACATTATCTGATGATACTCGTACATACATACATATACATACATATGTAAATTTGACTGTGAAAATGTTTTCTAATTTTCCTGCTAGACCAATGCGATAGTAGCTCCTATCGTATATTATTTTATAGCAATGACATGACTGTTATTCGCTTTACTAGTTTAAGAAATTCGTTATTCGTTTTGTTTTGTTTTATTTAAACCATTTCCTTAGTACCTTTTTCCCCATTTGAAAAGCTCATTTTATCAGAAAAGAAAAAGATAATGTAAAAAAAAAAAAACTGATTTATAAAGTAAGAACGAAACCCGCTACAAAGTATAGAAAAATGCACTGCTAAGCAGAAGAGGGTCGTGCGTCTCTCCGGCTTCTACTTGAGCTCCTCCAGAGCTCCCGTCTTCTTGTTCTTCTTGACCTGGGCGTACAGGGAGGCCGCCTTGTAGTTGATGGGCCCATAGTGTTGACTCTCGAGATCAGCATAGATGAATTCATCATCGAACCTGGCGGCGTTCAGTGGCTGTTTGTTGTTGGTAAGCAGACACATTACTTCTTTAGACATTTTCTAATACTCGTGGCTGTCAAAGCTGGGCTCTGGGTCATGCGCGGCTCATTGTTAGGTGCGGCTTCTCTCATGCATTTGAATTTGAATCTATAACGCCTGCGAACTATCGTTTTTTCTATTTTTCTATTTTATTGCTGGGATTAATCTTTAAGCTTTCAGTAAACAAATGGTAGCTGCAGGGGGACAGAGAATTAGAGAGGTTATGTGTCAGTAGAGATACACAGTTCTGGGAGGATCGGATCAGATGTTTCAGAATTTCAAAAGCAGAAAACCATATACGAAGACAGCGGGTGCGACAGTTGAAATAAATTATTTTTTTTTTTGATTTATGATAATTATTATAACAAAGATTATTGAACGAAACAAAGAATTTACCTTTTTCTATTGTGACATATAACATTTAGCTCAGTTTTTTTTTTATAGTTTTTGGATTTTTTTTTTGATTTGAAATTTAAACAAATAATAATTTAGTATATATAGGTATTGCTGCTTTTGTAAGGATCCTCAAAGTCAGACACATGCTATAAAAAATTACAATTCGTTTAATTTAGGAGACATTGTGATGGCTTTTTCGTATACTGTAAAGGAAGTGGAGAATAGCTTTCCAAAAATCGATATAGCATGCCGCCCAAGAGACTTTTCAAGTTTGCTTTGGTTTCAAATTATTGCCATAATATTAAGTACTGACTAAACTAAAAAAATACCTTAATCCGGGGTGGCTTTCTTTTGGTTTTGTATCAATGGTGTTTTCGATTCCTAGACAAACTAAATAGAAAAACGTATACCCCTATCTTTTTGTATGCTATTTCCCCATGCGGAGTAGGCCCACACACTAGCTAACATACATCTATGTATCTATCGGCCGCATTTATTATTTAAAAAAAAAAACCCTTATACACATGACTATCAAACTTAACACACACAGTCTGATTTTCCTAGAGTACTAGAGTACTTAATTAACTTATCTAATCCACGTTTTGCTTAGGCTAGACAAAAAAACGATTGATATACATGTATGTATTTTATGTCGATAGTTAGCGCCAACTAAATAAATGCATATTTGGTTGTGTGATTCGATTCGGTTATTTTGTTAGACGGGGCTAAGTGCATTGCGTTTTGTAATTTTATTTGTATTTGCATTTGCATTTGGATTTGGATTTGCATTGGTTTTTGCTATTGAGAATAATAAACCTTAATGTTAATGATATTTATGTCGAATGTCAATATCTATATGTATATACAATTAGTGCGAGCCGGAAGATTCCACCCTTTTGTTAATCCTATTTGTTTTCTATGCTGTTATATTTATACGATCCACGGATGATTTTCAAATTAAGTCGAAACAAAAAAAATACGGACATATTCCTTTAATGTTACGCCGATATTATTATTATTTCTTCTATCCAACTTATGCCCTACTATATTTCACTTTTTTCGGTTTGCTAAGCTTATAAATGTTGCAGTAATTATGTTGATCTTACAATCTAAGTGAATTTTACTCCCGCTTCTTCTTTCACTTCCACTTTCACTTCCACTTGTCCTTCTTTCATATAATAGTTAATACCTTGTATGCGTCGCGTAGGCCTGTTTTCTTTGGTGAATTTCAATATTTTTGCCTTCTAAATGTGAACTTCACGATAGCTTTGGGTCATAAAATACTTAAGTGCACCTGCAGTTGCATTGGCAATCGCCGATTCCTGGTTTGAGCTACGGACTGGGGTGTTAGTCGGTGCTGTGGTTGTTTGCAGGCTGCTGGCATCATCGTTATCGTTATCGTTATCGTTGTCCACCATGTACTCCTCTTCGCAGAAGCTATAGCCCAGATCCTCGTCTTCCTCCACCTCTGCCTCCACCTCCACCGTCCCTTGTGCTGATGATGGCCGTGCAGATAATTCTATTCCCTCCTCCGTGGTGGGCTTGTTCTGTGGGTAGCTTGACCGCGGGAACATAAAGTCTGGATGCGTTTTAGTTAGAAGCTCTAATGCCTCTAATGAGGCGGCGGGATTTAGTTGTCCAGTTGTACCAGGGGGCTGCTTCTGTGGCTGCTGCTGCTGCTGTTCCTGTGCCTCTGATTCTTCTGCCTCCTCTGGTCCAGCAGCTGCCATGGCGGGAGTTGGTGAAATTGGCTTGAAGGCATGCCGCTCATTCAGAGCCAATGGACGGTACACCAGAGAGCCCACATCCTGCTCCAAATGTTCCCTCTCCCGCTGCTGGTGCTGCAGTTGCTGGCGCAGCTGTTGCAGCCGCCCATTGGCCGTCTGGTTGCTCTGAAAATGGAAGGTGTGGTGCTTACGCAGGGGCAGGCGTATTGGACGTCGCACCACCAGACAGTCATAGGCCCCGCCATCCGCCAGGGGCCGTCGCAGTGGACCATTGACCGGAGTCAGCGGCGGTACATATCTCAAATTGTCGACGGTGGCGAAAGAACCTAATCGGGATGCCTGCAGCAGCAATTCATTGGGCATTAGCAATTGTGCTTGATGTTCTCCACTGGCACTTGCACTGGCACTGGCACTGGCACTGGCGCCATTCCCGATCTTGATGTGGCTAAAGCCCGTGTTGCTGTTGCCAATTTGCTGCTGGCGTGCTGCTGACGTTGCTGTTGCTGCTGATTCAACTGTCGCAGATTTGGTGGGGCAGCTATCACCGTGGGCATTAGGGGCTTCTGAATTGTGGCTGCGGGTAATATTGGTGTCGACATCATAGTCGGCTGCTGCGTTTGCATAACCATCGTACTGCCGCCGTTTGATATGTGCGTAGGGGTCGCTGATGGTTTGCCGTCGTAGTTTCTTGTTCCCGAGGCAGCCGCCACCGACGCCGCCGTTGTTCCGTTTATTGGCTAGAAATGGATTAGTAGCCAGCGTTTTGTTGGTCTTTTGTTAGTCATGGAGTCGAGGCAACATTAGTGGCGTGGTGTGGCGTGTTGTGAGTGCGGCAGTGTGGTTTGTTTGTCGTTGTTGTTTCGGTGTGTATCCAACAGATACAAAAGCAAACAAAAACCAAACATGAAAGTAAATTAAACAACAAAAATAATCAAAATCAGGTACAGAATCAAGATCACTCCATATCGAAAGACGTCTGGGGTGGAATGTATTATTTGGACTGAAATATCGTTGGATTTTTCCCCAATTCTAGCTGAATTGTAGTTGGGAAATAATCTTCTAGACATGTCGCTTGGACATTGAAGTATCCGAAGGCATTACATAAAATTGCAATAAAAAGAACTAAACATATTCTTTAAATATAGAAAGGATAAGAAAAAAATCTGTGGTAAACGGACAGATAAACTCCTCAAAAAGGAGTTCCATTCTAATCGAAATTCTCTGATAAACGTAACCAAAAGTGAAATGTTGATGCTTGGATAATTAAACTAAAGAGCATCCTTTGGGGGCCTGCAGACCGATGGACAAATACGCACCTCGTGAGGACTGTACTGGGGTGGTGGGCCTGCTTTGCATTTTCCCCTTCCGGAAGCATTAAGACTGCTGGCCACCGAGAGCGTGGAGGCCGAGTGCGTCGGATGGTGGCCCAGTTGGTACTGCTCAAAGTCTTCGGGAGTCGTGATTTCATTCGCCATGGCTTGATTGTGCTGGTGCTGGTGACGGCTAAAGCGGAGGGAGGCAGCTGTGCCGCTGGTGCCGCTGCTGTACAGCGATGTGCAGGACGAGAGCGATGTCGGATCCACGGCGAGGGCCGACCCGCCCCCGCCACCGCCGCCCACGTGGCTGGTGGACGAGGCGGACTCGTAGGACGAGTGCACATGTGTCGGCGAGTCTGCATGAATCAGGCCGGCACACTGTCCCTCCATATTTATGTAGACCGTTTTCCGACACAGCGCACCAGATGCGCTGGCATTTGCCAGTGTCCCTGCCCCTGCCCCGGCCCCGGCCCCGGCCCCTGCTCCTGATTTGTGGGCCTTCGATGGGCGGTGCTGCTGCTGCGACAAGCCGGATGGCAGCTGCGACTCGTAGGAGCTGTTCGATATACCCGAGTCGCTGCGATAGATGCTGAGGCGTTCGGGCTCCATCAGCTGGAACTCGGCGCCACTTCCTCCACCTCCTGGATCATTTTTTTGCTGGTGATGGCGATGGTGATGTTTTTTCTTCTGCTGGACGACAGCAGATCCCCCTCCGCCTCCACCAGAGTGCGTGTGCAGCTGCACAGTGGCCAGATTTGGATTGGTGTGAAGGTTGCTGCTGCCGCCGCCCATGTCCATGGCCGCGTCGACGTGGCATTTCTCGGCTACGTTCTCGTAGACGGGCGGATCATAGAGCCGCATGGGCTTGCCACCGGAGTCAATATCGCTATGGCTATTGCCAGCAAAGGAATGATGTCTCTTGCACTTCGACGCAGAGGATGAGTCGGTGGCGGAGGTGGGGGACGTGGTCGAGCCCAGTGGAGTACTAATATTCCCATTGTACGCAGCTGGCTTCTTGACCTTGGCGCCGCCGCCGCCCGGGAACTTCAGAGAGTAAAACTTCTTGTCCATTTCCACGACTCCTTTGGTCTTCTTGCCCCGTTGCATGCTGCCGCTGACGCTGCCGTGCAGCTCCTCCCCCGTTGCATCGTACTTCCGGAAGTTGCTGGCCGCCAGGAAGGGGTTCGTGTTGAGCAGCGCCGTGCTGGGCACGGGTGGCGGCGGCGGTGCCGGAACGCGCTCCACCACGGCATAGGTGGGCTGGTAGTCGTGCTCGATGGCGTTCAGGAGCTGCACATTCGACGAGGAGTTGGTGTTGAACTTCTGTTGCTGCTGGGTCGTGGCCATGGCCGGTGGTAATTGCTGCTTCTGGATCTGTTGGTGCTGCTGATGCTGCTGGTAGTACTCGGTGTAGCTCTTGGGGAAGCAGTTGCTCAAATTATATTGCACTTGATGTGTGCCCGAGTCCTGATTATGTGGGGCTGGCAGGTGGTGCATGGTATTGTATTGTGGTCCAGGTTTCTGGTGGTTGTAGTGCTGCTGCTGCTGCTGCTGCTGTTGCTGCTGCTGCTGCTGTTGCTGCTGCTGCTGCAGGTCGCAGTAATGTTGCTGCTGGTGTGGATGAGGATGCTGCAGAGTCTGGTGATGATGCTGCTGCTGCAGCTGCTGTTGCTGGCTGTTCGACGGCTGACTGATACTTCCATTTAGTCTCTTGGGTCGTGGAGCGACGCGCACCACATTTGTGTTGTTATTAAAATTTGTGGGGGTAGTAGAGAACTGTGGCATTCGCGCACCCAATGTATGATGTGTGGGAGGCATGCGGCGTATTAGGCGTTAGGCAGAGCGTGTGGAGCGGTTGAAAAGAGACATTGGATTAGTTTTACGGTTAGTTTGTATGGTTTTTGTTGCTGTTTGTTATACATATATTAGACGTATGGAAAAGCTAGGAAAGCTAAGCAATTTTTGGTCGTGTTTTGGCGAATCTTGGGTGGGGGGTTTTTTTTGTTGGTGTGTTACTAGCGAACAACATTGAAGGTTCAAGGGGTCAGTGGGTGGTTGGTTGTGTTCTAAATTAGAAGAAAGAAATACAGCTATCATACTCAGTCTTAAATATACACTTATTGCACCCAAATAACTTATAAACGTAACCTATCTAATATATAATAAAAATAGTATATGTACTAAATGAAGTATCTAGCAAATAATTGAAAAACCAAAGGCGAGATACACTTGGCGGCACTCAAAAAAAAAAAACAGGTATGGGAATTTATTTTCTTGTCGAATGTCTCGAAAGTTTTCGTTTTAAGGCATGGCAAGGAATGGTAAACAAAAAAATACTAACAGATGACCTGTGAAACATATGAGAAATGTCAATGTCAAGTGTTCTACGAGTCTAGTATGCTATAGAAAGCTCTATATATACGTGGGCCAGAAACAATATGGATTTTTGGATAGTTTTATAGCAAAGAATTACACATTTCCCGGCTTTCAAATGAAATCAATGCATTGGCAAAGACACTTAAAACGGGAAATCAAATCAAATCATAAGAGAGATTTACATCGATCGACAAAAAAGGCAATATATGTATGTATATAGAGAAAGCTTGGGCATATTTAGGTATAGTATTGTATATCATGTATATGGTAAATGGTAAATGGTATATGGTTTACAAAAAGGGTTTTAGCGAGATTAAAAGTGTTTGAGTGCGCTTCTCGAGTGACAGGTGTGTCGTGGTGTGGTGTGTTGTGGTGTGTGAGTGGTGTGTGAGTGGCTTGTGAGTGGTTTCCAGTGAGAGCAGTAACAATTCTAGGGGGATAGTTAGGTAGCTGAAATATTCGTTATATCCGTACCTTGTTAGGTGCCGTTTGCAGACCATGAAACGGTAGATTCTCATACTCGCCAGGTTCCGTCAATGGTTCCCCCAGTGAAGACGACTTGTCGTGTACTATATATCGGGGCACACACAGTACGGATCGGTTGATATTGCGATTAGTGTTTTTTTGTTTTTTTCGTAACGATCGGGGGTTGTTTTTTTTTTTTTTTTTGATTGATTGGTATTTTTTGTGTTCCGACGAATTCATTCATTTTTCGATTGGAAGCAAATGAGATAAAAAATAAATCAAATTATTAGAAAGAAATGGAAAGAGAAATAAATTGGTTTAAATCGAAATAACTAAACGATAAACTATAGGCTAAAACCGTTTCACTAAAATTAATTTTATTGTTTTTATTTTTTGTTGGTTTTTTTTGTAATTTTAGTCTAATCTAAAAGACCTAGAGTGTCCCTATGGAAATGATATCAGTTGTTCTTGATTTATTTTGAATGTTATCTGTTGAATTGAATGCTGAAACATGCTTAAATTTTGGACAATAACGAGGCATGCAACAACGAGTGCATAGCAAAACGAAAATGAAAACGAAACAAAGAGACATTTAAATATACAACAGCTTTTGATGGCTAGTGCTGTCCTTTCATCGGTTTCTTACTTGTCGTCGTGTGGTGTTATATGAGCATCTCGGCGTTCGATTCATTATAGTAAATTACTTACGCAAAAGATTTTAAATAAAATTAGAATAGAGGAATTTATAGACATTGCAATGTAATACGAGTATGTTGTATGTTGGAGCCATGATGGTAAATAAATGAAGTAATACTCAATGAAAGCATAAAGGGCAGCTTCCTTCTCTGAAAGTCTATTCACAGATGCGTTCCGTTCCGCTTCGAGCAAGTCACCTTGTATCAATAAGCTTACACACAAAACACAGTCATGTTGGAATATTTGTTAGCAATATTGCAGAAACATGAACTCAAAATAAGGGAGCTACTCGAAATTAAATTAAAAACCGAAAGGAAAATATACAAGAAACGTGTAATAAAATGTAAATGGCTCATGGACAAAGGGCCAGCAGAACCATGAGTGATGGGCATGAGATGAGTTTGAGGATGAGATGAGATATATGTCCTTATGAGTGGTAAAAGTGACTTGCGACATGTATATTCTTACTTTGGACGTGTTCGACCTTGCTGGGGGAGCTGGAGGAGACCAGTATGCTTCGCTTGGCCAGAGGCAGGGAGCTGGAACTGACTCTGATTGGAATGCCGCTGAACGGACTGCTGGTGCCTTTCAACAGTGCCTTCTGTGGGAGGCCAAGGCCTGGTGGCCTCAGTGGCAATGTGGGTGGCGGCGGCCGTGGCGGCGGCGTCCGACCACTGCGACCGTATGGTGGCTGCTGTTGCTGCTGTTGCTGCTGCTGCTGCTGCTGCTGCTGCTGAAGGAGCGATGAGGTCGCCGGCACGCCACCGACGGGTTGGGATGAAGAATGGGCTCCCTGCGAGGGAATTGCGAGTGCCTTCCCGGCCACGTCTGTTGTTGTTGCTGTTGCTGTTGCTGCTATTGTTTTCCCCGGATCGGTTTCCTTGTCTAATGAAGGCGCTTGAAATGTCACAGAGGCACGTGATGGGGCACTGCTGGGACTTTTCACTGGCGCGGTCTCTCCGGCCGTTGGGGCGGCTGCTTTTGTGGTTGTTTCATTAGTGGCTGATTTTGCGGGCGTCTTTTTATAGGTGACTATAGGTGTGTGTGTGTGTGTGTGTGTGTGATTATGTGCGTGTTTATGGACGTTAGGCATTGAGGCGAGGCAACGTAATATGAAATGTAAAATTAGCAATAAATCAAAATAAATCATAATCAAAATGAAAAGTAAATCGGAAATACTCTACCACTGCCACTGCAACGTATCCCCTTGAGCCTATGCTGGGCTCCGAACGGGGAGGAGGTGGTGCTATCGTTGTGGCCACCACGTCCCCGCCAGAATGTCTGCAACAGCCCCACATGGCTGCGCTGGCTGTCCCGGGTGCCATCATCCGATGACTTCTTCTTGGCCCTCTTGAAAACAAACGACAGAATGCGCTCCATCTTGCTGGCATTGGCACAGGACGAGGACGAGGACGATGCTGCCGCTGGGGCTGGTGCCTCTGTAAGGCTCTCCAGGCAGGCGACTCCCTCCGGGGCAGTCTCTGCCTCATCTGTTGGTGGTAAATGTTCTTCAGCCTTCAATCTCGTCACTGCCCCCAAAGTGTTGCTCCCCGCTTCCGTTCCCGTTCCCATTCCCGGACCCGTTCCAGCTTCCGTAACCACCGTCACCTCAGTTAGCATTGTGCTGTTGGAGTTAGTCTGGCTCTCGTTCAACACGGCACTCAATTGGGCCGACAACTGACTGGCGTTGGCCACATTCACATTGCCACTGGCAGTGGCACTGGCACTCGTATTCGGATGGGGCTTCAGTGTCATCCGATTCACGGCCAGATTCTCCTTGGTATCGCTGCTCACGTGGAGCATTACACCCGGACGGAGTGGCCAGCGGGGTGGTGATTTGGGTGCATTGCCATTGAAGCGCGTGACAGGAGGGGGCGTGGATAAGATCTCATTGTTATTCTCGGTCTCGGTCTCGGTTTCGGTTTCGGCCACTGCCAGTATTTGCTGCTGGCCCTGCTGCCGCTGCCGCTGCTGCTGCTGCTGGTGCTGGTGCTCCTGCTGGTGCTGCCGATTCGCCGCCGACAAGGTGGCTGGCAACAGGCTAGCCGACGTATCCAGAATGGGCAGGGCCGCGCCCACTTTCGGCATTACTGGCTGATACGACAGCACACTGATGACGATCGTTCGTCGCGATGTGCGTTGAGGACGTATGCAGGCAGGTGCAGTGTGTTAGTGGATTCGGATAAGAACAAAGCAAGCGAATGGATGGCAATGTGTCCGCGTAAAGAGTGTCGTTTGGCAGTACAAGTACAAGTAAATGTATAATAAAATTGTGCAAGTACGATTACGAGTACCGGAAGCAAGCGTATTATAGTTTTTGGAACGAAACATAAAAGGAAACACAGTTTGTAAAAATATGGAAATGGCAAAATACAACAATCGAAGCATGCAGATACTTAATAAAATTATCAAAAATAAACCAAAATCTATAGAAAGCTTTAGTCGATAATCCGACCCAGTTATACCCGGAACTAATACTTAAAAGACATATTCAAAAACATATATGATGGGCGAGGGTTATACATCCTTTATTATTTAGCCGATAGTGATATAATATCTTAGGAAATGTTTGTAAAGGAAGGAGTCCCATAAGAGAGTCCCACTCTTTAAGCTTGTAGAGTTAAGGAAAAGGATGTGATCCATAGGTCTTATGACTCCGAAACAGACAGACAGACAAGACTTCTTCATTATAATAGAGACTGCAGGACATAATGATTATTGACAATAGTCTGTTGAAACTTGAATTTGAAGTAAGTCCCTCTTTTGCAAAATAAAATGCTCAAAATCTGTTGTATTTTTGGCTACGTCAAAGGAAATTCCAAACTATTAGTTACTTTCGAATAAAAACTACACAAATCGTATGAATACTTTTGAAGATTATTCACTTACCTTTGGCTGGCGCTTATGGATACTTCCGTGTGATCTTTATATGTACATGTTGTAGATATGTATGTAGATATGTGTACATATGTGGGATGGTCGAGTGTGTGTACGCATTTCATGCATATTGTTAGCGATTAAAGCAGCGTGTAAAGTTGTACCGAGAACAGTCGGCGAGGCAAAGCAGTACAGAGGCACGAATGGATGGATATTCATCGAGAGACATCAAGCGATAATATTGTACATATATATACATATGTATGTGGCAGGCAGTGTGGCAGTGTGTTGCAGGGCAGGCGGCCGCAGTTTTGTTTGTTTATATGGTTGTTAATTAGTTGTAGATGGATTGTATCGGTTGTTGTTGTTAAGTTCAAATAATGTTGATTTTTAGCATGTTTTGTGTTTTATCGAGTGCACGGTATCGAGTATTTGCGGTTCGTGTTTGCAGTTGTTGAAGAATTAAAAAGGTACAACCGAACCGAACCGAACCGCACGAATGTGTTCGGATGAGAGACAATTTTTATGATTGCAAATAAAAGAGAGAAAAAAACAAAACAAAAAAAATGGTCATCGTAATTAAATATTCTCTTTAAACAAACTGTTATTGTTTACTATTTTCTGATGAGTTTTAACGAAATTAGCTTTAAGCGCCAAAGCGCTTAAAAACTTAAATTCTCGCCAAATATTCAAATGTCTGGTGGTTCTGGTGGTTCTGGTGGTTCTCATGCAATCTGTGGCCAATTCATAAAAATATGTCGTCTCTCAAGTGTTTTTGGTTTGTTTCAAGGAACTGCGATGTACTGAGAGATGATAACCAAGCGTATTTTGAAGGTAAGAAAGCACATGCAAGAGGCAATACAGGCAAAAGGCTCGGCTCGGCTCATGCTTTGGTTTGGCCACAATGGAATATTGGATAAAGTTAAACGTTAACAAAAAGGAACAAAAAAACTAGAAGCGGATTAACATAGCAATCACAACAAAATAAACCAAAATGATTGTATTTTTCGGGAATAGGTTCAATGTTTTTCGATTTGGCCTTAACGACATTCTGGAAGTTTTTTTCTGTTTCTAATGTTGTTCGTTTCGATATTTTTGGTTGCCTAAAACTATGCGATTTTCGAAGAGGGTTCCATTAAAGCATAACTTCTTCTTAGCGAATTTATGTACAGATTCTGTTGCCCTTCGGTTAGCCAAAGAGCACTCGTACTCACATTTATCCTGGCGCCGGCGACGACGGCAGACGCATATGATTATACAGCAAATGATAATGACGGCCAGCAGCAGTCCCAGAATGGCTGCAACCAGTATGATGAGCGTCGTCTTCTCCCAGCGCTGCCACCAGGCCAATTGTTCTGTTTTTGAGGAATAGTGAAGAGCATATTATATATTTACGATTGCAATCAGTGATAGTGGAAAGGAAAGCTCTAAAGGACAGCTTAACTTGGAGCGAATGGTGGGGGCGGGGGAAAGGAATGGGACGGGATGGGTTCGAGATGGGTTCGGGGGGAAAAGTAATTTATAAACACATGCAAATTTCTCAAGAGTGACATTCTGGATTCCAAGTCTGACTGCTTGAATGCAGTCCTCATTCCTCGGTCCTCGGTCCTCAGCCCCAGCTGAGCCGCCAGCCAGCCGCATCCTCTTCCTGCACAGACAGGACAAGTCCGTCTGCTTTCCGCCTCTTACATTTATCATCTTGTCACACGGCTTTTCCTTTGAGAGCCCCTGCCCAGCCCTGCCCCCGCCCTGCTCTCTTCACATGTGCTATAACAACATGTGCTTTAGTTGTCTTTCATTGTTTTCTATATCGCCATAACTCAGATGATTATCAACCGAACAAATGAATAAGTCTGTTGCCGTATCGCCATGACTGCTCGCTCTCATATTCGAGGCGCCCCCACAAAGCCCCCAGCACGACGTATTGTCAAGTACATGCTCGTCCTCGTAGCTGGCGATGCGACAGATTACTGGCTGGATTAATGGCGCTCTTACAAATCAAAATTAAATGGTTTTCAATGCGGATTTACTTACTCTTTGGGCGCACTATTTCGACAGAAAGCATTCAGTTAGTGTTTAGCATGAGGGGAGATTACAATTTTGGGTTGGAAAAATACGGCAAAAGAAGAACGGCATAGGCAAAGACAGATTTTAGTAACATTTTATCACACACTGGGGTCAAAGTACTTGTCGATTAGCGCACAAGCATAGCAAGGAAATTATTAAGGCACATAAATGGAATAGGGGTATCTATGCTTCGGCATTTACCTTGCCACCAAATAAAAAGCGCTGAACCAGCTGTCAAATAAAAACAAATAATATGCAACTTTTGCTGTAGAAATTTTGAAGATATTTGGGCCGAAAGAATGGAATGGAATGAATTAGTGTTTTTTTTTTTCCAGGGGAGACATAAGCTGGGGCTAATCACAACTATTTGTTCGCCTTTGAAAAGAAAATATAAGCGCAAAAGGACACAAATATGGATTTAGCCATTTAATGGGCCAAAAGCTTGCCAGTTTTTTCATTGTTCGAAGGGTGCAAGAATATATCAGTAAATGAAGTGTAAGGATATGGGATCCTTTTGCGACATGGCATGGAATATTACTTACCAGCAACTTCGATTTCACAGAATGCACCCGATCCAACCGTGTTATTGGCCACGCATCTGTAGGTCCTGGCAATGGCATAGTCCTCCTGCAGGACATAGAAGCTCTTGTCCGCAAACGACTTCTCGTCGCCGCTGCCCAAATATTCAACAGTTTCGTTCTCCGCCTTAATTGACCATGAAAAATCAGCCTGAAAAATATATGAAAAATATATGAAAAATGGAAATGGAAAACATTTTCACTGCAAAAACCTATACTCCAACTTAGTTATATATGGTTTTAATCCAATCTGCTTAAACATGAACGCTGCTGGCTTTCCCCATTTAATCGATGGCTCGTTGGGTTATTGAATTTTCATCTTGTCGCCCGTTGAATAATTTCCAATCAAATAATTTCGACCGACTGACTCCTCACCTCCGACATACATCCACGTACTTTTCGTGGGCCTCCCCTAGCCCCACGCCCCACGCCCAACGCCCCACGCCCCGCGTCTCTCTGCGGTTCTTGGCTATAAATTTCTGCTGCTGCTCCTGCTCCTGCTTCTCCTTCGCTTTTTTTTTAATTGGACGTTGACATGCAATGACTGCATCTAACAAGAGGCGATGCAATTACTGCACCGTCAAGTGGCCCGTGTGACACCAGCAGAAGGCTGTTACGCGCGGATCCCAGGCAAAACGCAGCCCTCCTCCCGCCCAACCGACCGAGGGGCGCTGCCGCATGACGCGCGGTGCGTAGCCGAACCAAACGCGAGCATGCAAGAAAGATAGATATTAGACTAACCTTCGAGGAAAATTAGCACTAAACTTATTAAGAAATTAAGCATGCAATAAAATACAAAATACAAATACCACTACAATTACTAATTACTAGAAAGGTGTGTAAGGATTAGTAATTTAATAAGAGGAAGAGAATTAGTGGAGGATATAATATGGTAGAGGGAATTATAATCCGAGCATAAGACCCTAAACGGTTCATGCAAGGAATAATTCGATCTACAAAGTGGAAGGAACAACGGTATAAAGTTTCTAGTCAGTCTAATAGGAATCGTGAAGTTTATGCGGCTCAACAGATCAGGGCTGTCTATGTCACCCCTGATCAAGTTGTGCATAAATATCACACCAAGCATTTTTCTACGGTTAACTAAGGATGGGAGGTTTACTAATAATAGTCTACTAGAGTAAGATGGGAGTCTTACACCCGCATCCCAGTTAAGGCCCCGCAGAGCAAAGAGTAAAAAGTTTTTCTGTACTGATTCTATACGGTCCTGGTGTACTTTGTACTGAGGGCACCATACACAGGAGCCGTATTCTAAGATCGGACGAACAAGCGAGGTATAGAGAGTCTTTGTTATATAGGGGTCGTCAAATTCCTTTGACCACCTCTTTATAAACCCAAGCACGCCCATGGCCTTATTTACCATGGTAGAAATGTGTTCGGAAAACTTTAACTTGGGATCTAACATAACACCCAGATCATCCACCAGGGTAATTCTCTCAAGAGAACCCCCAAATAGGGTGTAGGGAGCCAACAAAGGGTTAGAACGATGAAATGTCATAACTTTGCATTTCGAGGCATTAAGGTGTAACAAGTTTGCACAACACCATGACTGAAAGCTATTGAGATCGGATTGCAAGCGAGAATGAAATGAAATGTCCTTGTACTGGACACAGAGTTTAACATCATCCGCATACATAAGTACTCGAGAGTATGTTATTACTGAAGGCAAGTCATTAATAAAGAGTGTGAAGAGTAAGGGGCCTAGATGGCTGCCCTGTGGTACTCCCGAAGAAACCTTTACTGGTAAAGAGAGGGAGTTTTTGAAGAGGACTCTTTGAGACCTAGAACAAAGATAGCTAGAAATCCATCTCAGGAGGTTGGGCGGAAACCCTAAAAGGTCAAGTTTATGTGCTAAAAGGGAATGGTTTACAGAGTCGAATGCTTTACTAAAGTCGGTGTAAATAACATCCGTCTGTAAGTTACCTTGAAAGCCTTTAATAATGAAAGAGGTAAACTCTAACAAGTTCGTGGTGGTTGATCGCCGCCTTATAAATCCATGCTGAGTTGGAGATATAAGTGACTTGCAGAGATGTTGCAAGTGCGGAGTTAAAACCTTCTCAAACAATTTGGGAATAGCGGATAACTTTGCTATACCTCTATAATTTTTTACATCAGACTTACTACCTTTTTTATGGAGAGGAATTATAAACGATTCCTTCCAGATTGGGGGGAAGCAAGATGAATCAATGGACATGGTGAATAGTTTAAGCAATGGTCCACACAGAGCCTCGGCGCAGTACCTGAGTACACAACCTGGAACCCCGTCTGGACCCGGTGAAAACACCGGCTTAACTAGTCGAAGATCTTGAAGTAGGGAATACTCATTTAACAAGGGACTGAAAATGCCGTTCGACCTCGGTAATCCGTATGGGTACGGTTGACCAGAGTAGCGTTCCTCAGAATAGGTAGTTTGGAAAAACTGGGCAAAAAGATCGGCAATTGCCTGATCATTATTTGCCGACGTATTACAAAATGATAGCGAGGATGGGTGTGCGGACGTTCTACGCTTACTGTTTACGAAGCAGTAAAACTGTTTAGGGTCCTGAGAAAAACGTATCCTGCAACGAGATAGGTAGTTCTTATAGCATTGAGCATTAAGAACTGAAAAGTTTGACCGAGCTATTACATAACGAGAGTGAGAAGTAGGAGAACCCACTTCTTGAAATTTTTTATAAAGTCTTGATTTTAAGTTTTTTAGACTGGATAACTCTTTGGTAAACCAAGGGGGTTTTCCAGATCTAATCGGACAAGAAAGCGGGACACAAGAATCAAAAAATGTGCCAAGAGCATTGTAAAAAATGTTTGTGCCTTTTGTGACATCAGTGCACAAGTACAAAGCGGACCAATCAAAATCCCTGATTAGGTTATTAAGCTTCGCAAACTCGGCTTTACGAAAGCAACGGACACGTTCAGGTAGTCTACTCGACCGATCCAATACAGTTGGTCCTATATCTAGCGACACCTCGAAAGTAGGGTGGTAGGCGTCTTCAGGTATAGTGAGCGGAAGGGCTCGGGTTAACAACACTATGGTCGGATCCGATACAAAGCATAGATCAAGCAATCGACCCAAGGAATTTTTCACATGATTGACTTGAGACAGGGACAGGTCAAGCAAGCCGTCAACACAGTCATGTCGTGACATGGGCACTAGGATACTAGACTCGTTTACCGAAGACCAAACAGTTCCTGGCAAGTTGAAGTCACCAAGAACTATCATACGATCTTTATCAGATAGCGAGGAAGCAACAGCGGTTAAAGCGGACAAGTGCTGCTCATAAATTGAAATATCCGAAGAAGGTGGGATATACGAGCAAGTAATGAATATAGCGAAAGCGGGAAGAATCAGTTTTACACACAGGAATTCCAGTTCCTGTTGAACTTGGACTGTGAAGTGTTCTGACGTGAAGTAAGAGTCCACTGCAATTAGAACCCCTCCTGCACGTCGAGACGAACGGTCCTTTCTAAAAGTTGTGTACCGACCTGCCAAAACCTCGGAACTAAGAATGTCCGGCTTTAACCAGGTTTCAGTAAACACAATAACGTGGGAAGCAAATGCAACACTATCCCGGAAAAGAATGCTGAGCTTACTACGCAAGCCTCTTACATTCTGATAGGTTACTAAAAGAGAAGTTAGTTTTTTGGAAAGGTTGGACCAAGACGGGAAGTTGAGGAAGAGGAAGTTAAGGTTGAGGGTGGCACGCTGGAAAGATTTGGAAGCGATATGGGGGGCCTATTCTTCTTCTTAGCCTTAAACTCCTTCACCACCAAATGCTCCGGCCAAAATTTGGTGGAGCAAATGGTGTCAAATTGAGTTGGGGAGATGCTTATCTTAAACGACGCTATCTCCCTGGCATAAGAGAAGTTAAATTTCTCCACCTTTAAACCCACGGCTTTTATTTTGCTTTGAATGAAAGCAGTTACATCATTAGATGTGAGGTCAGGGGCCAGCCGTGAAACAAAAACTTGTCGTTTTGGTGGGACTCCCACCAGTGGTTTAGTCACCGCAGGTCTAGTACCTGTGGTGGCAATATCCGGAGGTCCGGAACGTCTATTTACTGGTGGGATCGGGATAGACGGGACAACTAGTGAACTTGCGGACACCACGGACACGGACGCAGCAGACGTACTTGGCTGCACATTCTCCGAGGCGATGAATTCGGCTACCGAATCTGCATCGCCAGCAGCTTTCGTTGCCTTTGGAGTGGCAAACGAGATCAACTGCTGTACACTTGGAGTGGTCGGAGTCAATTTTTCGGCGGCGCACGGCTGAGTGACGGTTGGCACTTGCAGGTCCCGCGGAGTGACCTTTTTGCGCCTCGGAGACTCATTCAGCAGTTTTAAACCGCTAAACTGAGCCTCCATGGCTAGGAGCCGATCGTATTGGTTTTTAAAACCAACGGTCAGCTCCTTAAAGCCACTCCGCGTCTGCCTCATGAAAGCCACCATGTCTTTCTCCACCGCACGGCATGCCTCGCAACTGTAATGCAAGCCATTACGTTTGGCTATGGCATCGCTCACGAGGCCAGAAAATCCCGCGCATTTTGCGTGGACTACGCTGTCGCAGAGCCAGCAGGGGACATTTGGCTGATCGTGAGTGATCTGCTTCTTGCAGGTTTTTTTGGCGCAGACCACAGCGAATTCCATTTTATTTTTATTATTCAAATATTTTATTAAAATCAAAAAAATTAAAAATTTCCAAAACAAATTGGTATCAGACCAATGTGCCAGACAACGCTCAAAGCGGAATTGGTAAGAAAAAAAAAAAAGAGAGCAGAGTGGAGAGCGGTTATAGCGAGAGCTACTAGACAGAGAGCGCTATTGCTCAGAAAGTTGAAAGAGCGAGAGAGAAAGAACAGTTATTGAGGTTGAGGTGATAGCGAGAGAGTGATAAGACAACAAAAGCTACCAGACGAGAGCGGACTGCAATGCAATACTCACTCACTGCAACAACACAACACAACACAAGCCGACGCCGAAAAATAAAAAGTTAAATAATATTTTAACACAAATCAAAAGGCATGCACTCGCGTAAATGAATAGGTTTCCAGATTGTTGTCTGGTTAGAAAGTATATTTAGAATTTAATTAGGAAAACTCCGGCTGTTTATTCGAAACAAAAGGAAAAATGCGGAGCGCAAAACAAAAACACGTCTGATCACTACGAAAGAGAACGTATACTTTTTCTCGTACTTCTTAAATTGCCACCAACCCACTCACCCACCGCCGGAACTCCAGTAACACGGCGCGCCTCGGCGAAGCAAATGCAATTTCAGAGTTGCAGAAGAAAGCCAATCGAAAATAATTCCGAGCAGAAATGCGGCTCTGATTTATGCGGCGCACGGTTAAATGCGAATTTTAAAATGTTTGCCCCGCCACTTGGAGGTAAACTTTGACAGTTACCAGAACCGCAAATAGTACTATGTGTACATGATATTATGGGAAAAGTTCGTCAACATACCTCCACGGGGTTACCGAATGCTGTGCAAATCAGAGTGTCCTGATCGTCGATCTCCCGTCTCTCGATTTCGCAGCGCGGCTTAACTAAGGGAAAAATTACAGAAAAAAAATAAAGAAAATTACGATTAAAGATCTGTAATTGTTCAATGGGTGGCATTTTACTTACACTGCACTTCGATGACGGTTTCAGCCGTGCTCTTGCCGTGTTTGTTGAAGGCCACGCAGGTGTAGGTGCCGTTGTCGTTGCGTTGCATGGGAGTATTGATGATCAGAGCACTGCCCCTCGTTATCGTCTTGTCCTTGAACCGCCACTCATAGGAAGGTTCTAAATAGATTACGTTTATGAAAATACCCAAAAGGAGATCCCACTGGCAAATACCAACCTGGATTACCAAATGATTTGCAGATGACGCGTCCTGGGATGGTGTCTTCCTGCACATAGACGGTGGCATTCGCGACGGTTGTGTTGATGGGTGCATCTGTCGGTTAATAAAGATACGGAGCGTGTATTATAGACCCCTCCCGGCGTTCGTGCCCTGCTTGTACTCACATTCAATGCCCAAATAGGTGCCACTCCTGATGCCAGCTCCCACAGAATTGGCCGTCGAGACGCACGTGTAGTTGGCACTATCCGCCAAGATATCGAATTTCGAATTTGCCCAATTTGACATGTTAAAGTGCTGCAAACGATTAGAGGAACACAGAACACAGCATGTCAGAGGCGCCAGCAGAGGTATCGACTTTCGCAGGATACAATTTGATTTGGTAAGCGGATACACTCGCACGAGTACTCGTACGCGCACAATTCGAGAACAAATTGTGATTGATTGTGAATCGAAAACGTTGGCTCCCCCATTTATGGATCATTAATTTGTGACTCGTATTGTGTGCTTCGCATTAAGTGCCGAAACTCGAAACTTATTGGAATGTTCCCTTCCAATCAGATACATGTTTAGACGTTGGGACGGAGGACTTACCAGAACCGATAGCATGCTCTCAAAGTCGCCGGTGGCCGGCGAGGCGTCCATGTACTTCTCCTTGACAAAGTAGCGGGTATCGTTCTTCTCGATGGGGGTGCCGTCCTTCTGCCAGGATATCTCGCAGCGCGGAACGCACTCGATGCGACAGGTTAGATTGGCGTTGCGGGTGGAGTGCAGCACGCCCGTATACTGTGGCAGGTTCTTGATGAAAAATGGCGGTGCGTGTACCTCCAAATTGACTGTGGCCATTACGCCCTTGCCGCCCTCGTTGTACGCATAGCAGGAATAGTTGGTCCGACTGTCGAGGCCAACAGGTTCCACCGTCCAGTCCTTGGTGACAATGTCCTGCAGCGGACCGCGACCGCCGCGCAGCCAACGATATCTGTTGGGTTGCAGAACCATTTGAGCGACAAACGTAAATTTGCCCATTTTGCGGTAGAGTGCATAGGACGAGGTCGAGGATGATGAGGCGTACGAGGACGAGGACGTGGACGTGGACGAGGACGAGTATGTCGGATGTTGTTCACCCGTGTATAGGGTCAAGATTTGCGATTGTGGCGTGTAGGTGGTGAGCGTGAGTAGTGTACAAAGGGAATGATTCAGATGTAAATCAATTAGAGCGTGAGTTTCTTTAATTTCATGGACTGCGGGTCGGGATGCGGATGCAGATGCAGATGCGGATGCGGATGCCGATGCGAGGCTGCTTGTTAATGTTCTTGATGATGATGGTGGATGCAGCTGCAACTGCAACTGCTGCTCTTGCTGCTGCTGCTGCTGCTGCTCTTGCTGCCTTTGCAGCAGCAGCGCCTCGAAGGCCATGTCAGCCTCGTGCGGCTGCAGTGCTTGGACGGTGTGGTAGGCGATTAGTGGTGTTGGATTATGTGTCGTGATTTTGTTGTGATTCTTGTTGGCTTGTTGTTGTGATTTTGGTTGTGGTTGTGGTTGTGTTTGTGGTGCTACAAACCTATTCGATTCCGGGTATCCCGGATCGTCCACAGAGCACGAGAAGATGACGCTCTTCTTTTTCACAGCAATGGGCGGAAAGTGCGTCAGGGTAGCAGGTCCTGGCTCGTAGTGTACCTAAGAGAGAGGGGGAGAGTGGGGGTGTAAAATACGGGAGAAAAGAGGAAGAGATTGTTCGCACACACCATCAGCTCTTTCTCTTCGCTGCGCGGACCCCAGCCAGCAGCATTGAAGCCCTCGCAGGAGTAATTGTAGAAAAATCCCCGTCCGATGCTTTCCAACAACAGTTTACTGGGATCGATATGGCACAGATCCTCCTTTAAAATATAAAATACACGTAATAAAGTACTACCAGTAATAAAGATAAATGATGTCCTGCAGCACTTACTCTAGTTTCCTCGCAGTCGGGCAGCTCCTTGAGCAGCGTGGCATTGGCGTACCATCGCACTTTCGTGAGAACTGAAGGATTTGCCTCTAAAATATTGCAAAAGAGGGTGACATTCGACTCGTCGCTTTCCTTCACAGGTCCCTCGGGTATCATTAGAACCTCCACAACGGGAACATCTATTCAAATAAACGTAAACGCTTGCTCAAGCAAAAGATTCTCTCGGCATAGACTCAGGCATCTCTTACACTGGACATCAAGATCTATCTGCTGCTCCGATATGCCCTTGCCAATCGAGTTCGATAGCTGACACGAATAGTTGCCAACGTCCTCCTTATCGGTGGACTTGATTACCAGAGCCACATTTTCCGAATTACCGCCTTGGTAGTGATCCGTATCGTTCACATTGACGATGTCGCCGTTGCGGTACCTGGAAGGCAGAAAAGTAAGGAATTCTAGTGTAAGGACCTTCGAAAATCGTTTGCTTTGTGCAGGCGCATTTAAGTCCTGTTAAATTCTATGACGGATGCGAATTCCGGATGAAAAATCACTATTTAAATTAAGTTTTCCTCTCGGGGAGGGAGGAAACTCTTTTCACTTTCCGCTCACATGAAAAACAAACATGGAAATCCCTCAAATGCACACACAAACGGTGGGCAGGGGAGGGGAGGGGAGGGCATGGCAGGGCCTAAATGAAATATATGCCTTGTGCCCACATCTCGAGGGGATGGGTGTGGGCGTGGGTGTGGGTGTGGCTGTTCCTGTGTGCGTCAGTCACTCTATTCATTTACTGTGTAATTTCTCAGTTGCAAAATTACATGTGGTACATGGGAGAATGGAGCCACTTGCCACAGACGACAACGGTGACGACGACGACGACGACGAGTGTGTTTAAGTCTGATGGCAGCAGTACCATCCTCATACATACATCATAAACGCGCGGCTCACCCTCCAGCCGGTCCCGCAACGCACTCACTAATTAGAAGCGTGTGTTTTTCTGACAGTTTTGTGCTCTAGATATTCCGTGCAAAGTGGAAGGCAGAGGTCGAGCGACCCACTAGCGTACGATGCCGTAGAGCGAGCGACCGCGTATCTTTTGTGTTTCAGATTTGACAAATTCAATATGCAGAGCGCATATAATCATCCGTACAGTCGTCGTGTTTCAAACGGGGGCGTATCCAGGAATCCAATCTATAGACGAAAAGCCCCAATCTCGCATCTCGAATGTCACCGAAAATTGCAATTTGCGTGCCAATGTGAAGCGATGCGCTGCATTCGCGAAAATATGTCTGGCATTTCGCCGACGAAATTCGCGGAGCTCGTTAGCCCCCGTGTCCTGGTCACAAGGCTTACTTATCCCCCGTGGAGCTGGACGGGGGGATGCGCGGCCACGATGCGATGCGAGCGATTTTGATTTTGATGATTATGGGATTTAGTGTGTGAGGAGGACGGCGGTGTTTTGGCTATCAATCCAACATCTTCTTCGATTTAAAGCGTATTCAAAAAATGTACAGGTATGCGCGTACAGTCTCGTCCAATTGCAACCACAGAAGTCCCACTTTCATCATCAACCTCGGCAGATTCGATCTAAATTCACATTACGCATTTTCCATTTTGATTTTCAGCTGCATCCTCGCTGGGGCCCGGACAGCGGCGATGATGGGGGAGAGGGGAAATCGAGAGAGAAAGAGTGGCACGCTGTGCCGTGCGCGCACTTGTCTAAACAGAATGCGGTTTCGCACCGCACGCACCTTAACCCTGGCGGTGTCCGTCCGTCCATCCGTCCGTCCGTCCGCCCCGCTCCGACTCCGACTCCGTCTCCCCTGAATCGTTCGTTCTTGCTCCACAGTGTGCTGTCAATTTGCTTTTGTATTTGTTTTTAATTAGATTTTTGTTTACTGTGGAAATTGTAGTTAAATTGAGTCCTGGATGCAGGCGTTCTCCCATCCTGTCAGAGTCAGAGATTGCCAGGCAACCCTTTGAATGCCTTACACCTAGGTCAGACACATGTATGGCGCGTCAGGTCCTGCCTCGGGGCTCAGGACCCAGGACCCAGGACACAGGACACACACGGCTTTAAACAGTCAAGACAGAAACAGCAACAGAGGCGACGTCTCGTCTGCTTGTTAGCTTAATTTCATCTGCCTCAAAAGTAAGTATTTGCTGAGGGACTTGAAAGTAATTTCGAATTTCTTTGCACTCACAATTTCGAAAGATACTCTCTGTGGGCCGTGGGGGGGGGGGGGGGGGGGGGGGGGGGGGTTGGGGGGGGGGGCTAGAGGGTAATAAGAAATGTGTTCGCTACTTACCATACAACTTGGGTTAAAGATGCAGGATTGGCGAAATATTCACAGTTCAGGAGGACTATTTCACTGGTATTGGTGACCATTTCAGGCGGACTGACCTTGACGACGGGAGGATCTGTGGGAAAACGGTTAAGCGAACCCAAAAGTGGTTGATCCCCTTCTGCTACTTACACAACACTTCCAGTGTTAGAGACGATGCGATTGGCTTCTCTCTGTTGATCTGCAGAACAATGTTTTCGGCCTCGCATTTGAAGACACGATCGTTCTCGAAGCGGGAGGCATTGAACACGAGCTCTGATTGTGTGTGATAGGTGCCATCCTCCTTCTCGAACTGCAAACATCGAGGGGATACATTCATCGATTGATCAAAGATTGAGTGGCATTCACTTACCGCCTTGGTCCGAATCTCAGTTAAATCATTCTCCTCCGCGCTGATGGTCGAGGTTGTGTTGTACCACGTGAGGTTAACAGCCGGGCGAGCACCGTGAATCTATTGGAGAATGGAAAACTGTTCACAACTTGTCGACATTTGCCCATTTACCCGCCCTCTACTCCTGTGTGTGTTATTATATTTCCATTAAACAACAAGTGCATTTACCCATGCCTCCGTTTAACTACACATTTCTGTACCTTTCTATCTCTATACCGATAGAGGCAAAAGCGATTGCACAAAATTCCATTAAAACATAATACGCAATCAATAAACAATTTTGTATAATTTTGCAGCGCCGACAAGCCTTCTGTAGGTCCTACTACACCCTACACCCCACTCCCACTCCTCGTGTCGCTACAAAATTGCTCGACTCCTGCCGCTCGAGCGGTCTTTCGATAAAATGCAACGAAAAATACTTATACTCCAACGGAGGACGAAATCATGTAAAATGGCGGAAGTCCTTACGAGGCCTGTGACAATGCCTTGTCGAAGGTAAAAGGCATACACCAGAACAGAATACCGGAATAGCAGTTGCCCTGCCATGCCCTGCCCTGCCATGCCTTTCCGGAGGTGGGGGTGGCGCTCCAGTTAGGGCCAGTGAGCAGTGAGCAGTGAGCCAGGAGTGGGAGCATATGAAAAATCGCAGAATAATTGGCAGTTAATTGTTATCAATTACGTGAATGCCTAAGCTATGCCAACACGCTGAACGAGGGAAGCACTCCGAAATGACAGCTGGCACTCTCGACTTTTTTTCTACACTGCAAAATAGTTCTAGTATAGTCATAGATGCAGATGCAGATCAAAAACCTCCTAATAGCTCTTGATGAAATCCCCTTTTATTTGCCGCATTTGTTCCTCGAATACTTACGTCACATTGCAGCACTACTTTGCTGCCCTGCACCGTATGATGTTCCACTCCCTTGATGAGTATGCTCGTCGGCCGCACTGTGGATGGGGTAAGAGAAGAGTAATATTCAAAGTTACTTTGGTAAATTGCTTAAAATGTCTGCCATTGTAATTGGCTTTTGTCCGTACTTCCGGCTTGGCTCTTTTATATACAAAACGAAACGAAACGAAACGATAATAATGGCAATTTGCATTTTTGTAGATACGGTTTTTGGGAAGCAAAAGTCCTTTCTATCAACAAATTGGACTACTTTTTAATGAATTCCTGAAGAAGGCTCGACAACGTTTAGGTCGGCTTTTGCCTCAAACCATTGCCCATTAAACTGGCGCTTCGATTTGGCATTACCTTGCAGGTCCACGCTAAATTTGGTAACAATCGTGGACTTTATGGCCGCGGATTCCACGCGGCATTCTATGTCCTGAGCCAGATCCTCGCGGGATAATTGCCAATCCAACTCCAGGGTCGAAGTGTAGAGGCCATCGTTCAAATCATGAGTGGGAGAGTCTGTGGAAGGGGACAAAATGAATCATTAAGAAAGCATTCTTCATCCAGAGAAACAATGAAAAAAATGTTATGGAAATCCCGACATGTCCTTAGAGTATTTCGCTACATTCAATGTCCGTTTTGGGATAATAATGATAAATATTCGAGAGATTCGAGGAGATTTTCGTTCAGTGGTTTTAGGAGAAGCTTAGTCTGGTGCTTAAAAGTATATATAAATAACCCTACTTCAACCTGGTTTAATTTTGAGGGGGGCTGGTCCGGTAGATTTATTTAAATCTCTCGTTCTACTGCCGTACTTAAAAATTTAACAAAAGTGCCTCTAACTTTACGTTTATGCTCCACAATAAAAGGACGTAGCATTTTTATGAGCTGAACGCGGTTGGCTATGGCTATTCCTATTCCATATGCAAACTGATACGAATCAGGGCGGAGAGGAGCGGCAGCAGCACTCAAATCCCGGCCAGGGCCGCTCTTTATAGCCACTCGTCAGTCCTCAGTCCTCAGTCCTCATTCGTCGTCGATGTCAGTCACTGCATAAACTTTGTGGCGCATCGTAAACCCACCCACAGATCCACGGATCCACGGACCCGAGACTTTAGTTGGTTCGAAGGCTTATGCATCAAATTGGCTACTTAGCTCTGGTCCCCGTCCTGGAAATCAATAAACGCGCTTCGGTTGCTTTTACGACTATGATCTGGGAGCCAAAAACTGTTCTTCCCTTTCTACCTTTTTTCAAGGAGTTGTGTCGTTCTCGTGCTTGTGTTGGGGTTTCTCGCAGGATTGGGAGTGGTATAGGGGGAATGGGGAATGGAGAATGGGGATTTTGTTGTACTCACATGTTGCCAGGCGCTTGGTGCCACGGAACCAGCCGACATCTGGCTGGGGCCGGGTGTTCTTCACGGTGCAAGTGGCCTTCAGGGCCTGCCGCTCCTGCATGGGACCCACCACGCTGCCGTTCTCGATGCGATCGCCCTTTGCATCCAAAATCACAACCTCAGTGGGTGGCACTGCAGGGTCATCGGTCAGTGTTCAAAATCCGACATATAGATGTGTTTTCGGTTGGTTTTCGGTTTCGGTTGTGTGTGTATTTTGTGCGTAGGTGTTTCGGTTTTGGGTGTGAGTGTTGTTCAATTATTTGAAAGGTAAAAATGTTGAATTCGTGTTTTAATAAATCATATTATTTTGGTCTTTGGTTTGCATCAAAAAAAAAATAACAATATCCCCCAAAACTCATCAAGTTTTGTAATTATGAAATTAAATGAAAAATGAATTAAATGAAATATGAAAATTAAATAGAATAAACCAAGGAAAAGCCTAGAGCAAGACTCTAGCAAAGTGACTTTATTTAAACAACAACAAACTAAAGAGAAAAAAGAAAAAAAGGCCAGGCCTATGGCATATAGCCCATAAATAATGATCCACAAAATTCCAGAAAACATATGTAAAAACCATAATTCTCAAGCTAATAAAACTAGGTTATTCGCTCTTCAATATGCTCATTGAGGTTCTTGTTCTTGCTTAAGGTTATAACTAAAGAGAAACCATCGATAAAGGTATTAATGATAATTTATGAGTTTAATTTACCAATGTTTTCTACGTTGTTAGCACGTAGATATTTTGCAATCATAGCCAAACGTTTTGTAGGTTGGTTTTTGTTTGTTTTGTATTTTTTAAATGTTTTAGAGCAATGCGTTGGATGTTTTAAATATTGAGTTTAGTTTGCAAACATTGTATTTCGGATGGAGTTTAAATTTAAATTGTTTTTAAGTTGAGTTCCACATATCGGGTTTTAGTTTTCGGTGTTCGGTTTTCAGTTTTCGGTTTTCGGTTTTCAGTTTTGCAGGTAAACATTGCACACAATATTGAAGAGGAAAAAACAATTTTGTTTTTGGTGGGTGAGAGGGAAGTAGTTTTTTTTTTTGGTTTTTTGTGGCCGTTTCGGTGCCGATGGGGCGTGATGTGAACCAGGAGGCGTGTCATGGTTTTTATTTGGTTGAATTTCAAAATTTTTTATAGTCATGGAATTTTTGCGAATTTTTGTTGTTGTTTGAGTATTAGATAACGATGCATGTATATGTATATGTATATGTATATGTGGGATATATGTATATGTATTTGTATGTGCGTGTGTGTGTGTGTGTGTGTGTGTGTGTATTAAAGGATGGTGTTTTGTATGTACGTATTAGAGGGGAATTTCCATGTCGATGTTGACGAGCGTTTTTCATTTATTTTGTGGGACATTTTTTCGAAAAGAACAATCAGTTAAGAGAAAATATTTTCATGAGTTTTGACACGTTCAAATGTTTGTGGAAAAAGTAAAGAAAGAGAGAGAAGAGAGCGGTTAAGGGTAAAGTCGTTGGGGTTGCAATTCGAAATGGGTTATCATCAAATTTCGCACGATAGAACAATACAGTACACAGTCTATGGGTTGAGATATTCGTATTAACTTTAGAAATGCGTGTAAAATCAGGCAAACAATTAGATACATTTTAAGGAGGAGGAGTATCTCGCAATGAGGGGACAAGCACAGTAAGCATTAAAACTATTCCAAATCGATCGCATCGCGCACATGCACTCTGTACAACACGACTCTTTCTCTTTTCTTAACTTGGCTTAGAATTCCCATGCGTTTTGTACAGTTTTAAGGTTTAGTTTTAGACTTAAGACTAGATTAAAAACGAAAGCAAGAAACACCAACGCAAAAAAAGCAATTAAAAGTACGCTGTGTGAAACGGATATGAAAATACAAGCGTTGGTAACATGCAAAGCAGCGACGATCATCGTTGGAGATCGTTGAACGACTGAACGACTGAACGGATGAACGGGTGAACGGGCGAATGGGCGAGTGGGTGGGGACTTACCTAAGACTCTCAATTCCACTCGATATCCGTTGAAGTTATCACACGTTTCTTCTGGTATAAAAAATGTTGTATCACATAGATAAATATCCTCATCACCTATTTTCAGGTCCTTAATAACTAGTCTGTATGGATTTTGTTCAACAGTTACTCTGCAAGGGATCCAGGATTAGTTATCGTTATTAATGATACTCTTTGCTGAGCAATTCTCTTCTTACCTGTCCTCAAATTCTTTATTCACACTCGTCACATTGCTATCGCCGAGCAGCATGGCAGCAATGCGATCGTCGCCTTTGAACCAATTCAATGAATGCAGCTTGCCGCACTTTTCCTCATTCACGGGACAGGGAAGGACCACAGACTTGCTCTCCTGTTCACTGATAGTCCGATCTGCAAGGATAGTATAAGCAAGGTTTAAGCATAGTCCATTACAGAAAAGATGGCCTTGGGATTGTTTTAATGGCCAAGACCATTAAATCGACTTCATTCGGGCCATTCCATTTAAGCTTCTCGAAATTCCTTGCATACTAAGTATATTCCTATAAATCCCTCATAAATTTCAAGAATATTTGAATAGTTCTTCTTCCTTCACCTCCATCTCCCACCTCCAACTCCGCTCTCCGCCAATCTACTTTGCTACTTTTTCTTTGGCCTTTCGCCCGACCCTAAAAGCATAAAAATACAATTTTCTTATCAGCTTAAAAGCCTATAACATAATTTGAAATTTACGCTCCATTTAAGTTGCTTCTCGTGTGTGTGTGTGTGTGTGTGCTCCACTAGTACGTGTGTATTTGTGTGTGTGTGTGTCCTGATTACAAAATATCATTTATTCCACACGTTCTATCCATCCTTCGTCCTATAAAATCAAAATAGCCATCCTGTCCATCTTGTGGGCTGCTTTTGGCGAGAGCATTTTCTAAACTTACGGCACATCCCACCCAAAGCCGACAATCACTTTCACGTCTGTCTGTCTGTCTGACGGGTCTGTCTTCCTATTTTTATAGCCTTCTCTCTGCGCCCCCCTCCCGATAGATTGCACTCCGATATATTATATTAGGCGGCTAGCCGCTTCTGTTGGTTAAACAATTTAATAGCGTATTTTTAAGGTAAAAATACATGCAAGAGGAGTACTAATCGCACATCAACCTATTGTTAACACGAACGAATCGCAATCGCCATCGAAAGGGTAAGGGCAAGGGAAAGGGCAAGGGTAGGGCCGCATTATTCGAACAGACGCCTACAAAAGCCACACCCAGAATGCGACACGACACACAAGAAGTTGTTAGCAATCAACTCAAGCATCAAAACTTTGATTTGTATGACCATAAATCGCACTTTATTTTTGAATCAGCCCCTCTGTCGAACATCTGTCTCCTCCGTTTCCTGCTCAGCAGTCGCATATTTGTGGCTGACTGTTCATAAATTTTACCCTTGCCATGGGAAAGTTGGCCAAAAGTTCCACTCCGGACCACTCCATGCGACTCCACTCCTTTCTCTATTGCAGAACAGCACCCTCCCGGCCCGCTTTAAGCCATCGGCAATCAGTTTTCTTATCTGCTTGTCTTATGTGTCCATCCCCACTTGTTACATGGCCATAACTTTTTGTAGTCTGGAAACGCCTTTAGCTTGGCTTTTATAATTCTATTTCCGTTTCCGTACAAAAAACTTTGTGCTTTTTCCCTACGCTACGAGTGTATTCCATATACGATGCATGTATGTACATATATGTATGCACTAGTGTGTGTGTGTGTGTATATTTCTACACATCTTTTTCACATGTTTCGGGTATTCCATTTTCTTTGTCTGCTTTTGGCAGTATGGGATTATTATCGTCTCTTCGGTCCTCTCCTTACAGCCCGGACTCCAGACTGCCGTACTCCGTTCTCACTCACACCATGGACGGTGTGTGGTGTGGCATGGTGTATCGTACATACTCGTCTGTACGTGCTATACTTTTGTGAGCATTGACACTGACTTTGTGTGTCGCTTAGTGGTTTGTCTATCTTTTCCTGCTTTGCCAGCCTTTGCGAGGTGATATTGCGGCTTGGCCAGGCCCAAAAAACATGATTTAATCTCCTAACTCAGGGAATTATCACCGAGTTTCTTACATTTTTTTTTTTTTTTTTGCCATTGCCAGGCGATAATGTATCCATGTAGGCCTTGTAGGCCCCACACCCCATCCCCCCACACATACACGTGCATATGTATCTGCTATTCATAGCATAGCATGTTCATCAATCAATTAATCGATATATAAAATACTCCCGCAAGAGCATACAAGTGGGAGAGTTCCTAGTATAAATAATTAGAAAATAAATAAGAGAGAAAAGCGAGTATGAAAAGAGTGGGCGGCCTATGGCAGAATATATTTTACTATACATATATATTTCATGAACTCTGTATATTCTGTACATCTTAATTAGTGCAGACACTGTCGGCGCTGTCGTTGCTGTCGGTGAGACATCGCCAATTATGAAACAAATGAAGTTGAACAAAAATTAACCTCGAATTTTCGTCAAATAAGTCAACGCATACAAAATTATATAAACAGAATCAATTTAAATGAAGCGCACACTTTGGGAGTGCGCGGCAGATGGGGGGCGGGGGGTAGGCGCAGTACTTTCCCCAAGCAGGTGGCAAGCCATTTCGTCTGTACAAATGGGTGGCAGAGAGGCCGGGACTCTCGGCATAATTTCAATATGGCGTCTGCTGCTACAGCGCGTGGCCAGCAGCCGAAACTGCCACTTAGAAGCGGCGGCGGCCGTGCCTCATGCCGACGCGTACACCTCATTGCTATCCGGGGCAATCCGGCGGGACAGAACGGGACAGAACGGGGCTGGGCTGGACCGGGATGGAGGCATTTCATTGTGCGACGAGCACGGAGATGAGAAAATAACAAAATAAAAATTTGCGTTTATGTTTCACTTGTTTTTATTTTTCGCTGGATTCGTCGCTTGCCCCCGGCCCATGTCCTCTTCCGTTGACACTCATTTCTGACAGCTTAAGGACATTTGAGGGTCATGTTCCCCTCCGTTCCTGCCACTAAGAGTTTCTTGGGACTTTATCCAGATTTAAAATGACATTTTCATAATTCAAGTCTGTGATTCAGCGCCTCTTTTGTAATAAACTTGCCACTTGCCCGCTCACTCGAGTGCCCACTGTGGCGACGTCACCGTCACCGTCACCGTCAACGTCAACGTCGCTCTGTTGACCCCTAATTGTGTGGGTTTCCCCTTTTTGCTATTTACTATGTCTCGAGTGGAAGCCCCCGCCTCCTATATTGAACCCATGCTTAGCAACAGCTGCCCTTAATGAAATTAAATTATGGTTTCTATAAAGGCACACACACACAAACACACACTGTGGAGGGCCGGAGGAGGCTTCCACCGTGGCTGTGGGCAAGGGAAAAGATTCTCATATTTTCCGGGGTTTGTCACATTAAAATTTAGTGCTTCTTTTAAGTGCCGGTAATAAGATATTTGTATGCTTTTAGGCGGTTGGCGTTAGGCAGACAGCCAGCCCGGCCCGGCCCAGCTAGTGGAATCAGCCAAATGCCACTGCCACTGCCAGTGCCAGTGCCTCTGCCACTGCCTGTGCCATGTGTTGGTTGGTTGGTCCTCCTCTGCACGGAGCTCGTGTGCATGTGGCGTTGCTGTTGCTTTTGCATAATTTAAAAGTACCAGAAAGCGACAATATATTAAGGATTAGACTAGAATGCTGTTAAGACTGGCAGAGATTAAAGAGGGCCGAAAGAGCGTCTGTCTTTACGACTACGCCGAGAGACGCTCCGTTTCATTAGTGGAACTATTTTTTGATTAATTCGAGTGCCATGTCGTTTCATTTTTCATTCGCGAATGCTGTTTGATCGCTCTGTTCCTTGGGGCATAATTAATCGAAAGGGAAAACATCAGTGGAGACCATAAAGAGTTATTAATTGAATATAAAATGTCTGGGGATGCGCACAAGGCTCATTCCATAGTCCTTTTGGTCTTCTATAAGAGCATAGAAGATAGGTCTCTCCTAATTCGGATAGCAATATTTATGTTGTATGTATGTATGTATCTGCGACCAATTGCAAGAGACTGTACTTTTTTGTATCTTTTTTCGAATTCCGCAAGCAAACTGCAGGGGAATAGGCTCTGGTCTCCCTTTTGTTGTTGTGTCAGGTCTGGGGTGCCTCTGGGACCCTTGGAGCGTAACGCTGACAGAAGAGAACGACATTTGTTTCATTACCCCGCAGTCTTGACCCCTGTTATCGGGGCAGTCTGCCGCTTGGTGCCGCATGAGCGCACCTCTTAAGAGCTCTTTCGGAGGGGTGTTACGCATAGCTGTTGCTGCACAATAAAAAACAACACTACGCTCGCGGGGTACTCCTGAATTCCTTACTTGAATGATAATCTTGCTGGAAATCCACTAGAAATGCGTGAGAAATGTCGGAAACTTTCGACAATTAAAATCGAATTTTCAAGCGTACAAAAAGCGCCAAAATGCCGATTAATAAAAACGCAGCTTAAAACTTAATCAATCAATTTGGACGTTGAAAAGCAGCTCAAAGCACGCCTCCCGTCGAGGACACGGATCGCCACCTACTGCCTCGAAAAACAGCATGTAACGACACTCCAAAGTCGGCAGTAAATGCTCAAAGTCAAAGTGTAATTACGTCCGAAAAACATTGACATGGAAAAACGAAACGAAACGAAACGAAACGAAGCGAAAGACGAAAGACGAAAGTCGAAACGAAAGCAACAATGAAAGGAGGAAAACTTCAACTCCAATGTGCAACAAGAGCGGAAGAGGGGAGGCAGGGAGGTAGGGAAGGTTTTCCAGCTAGTGGCGAAAAGTTGGGAATAGTTTGGGTGGAAATCATTTGAAAGGATAAATGCATAGGAGTATCCATACTCCTGCCCCTGCCCCTGCCCCTGGCCCTAGCCCCAGCCTGGAGTGTGGCATGCGGAGTGGAAGGCGTCTTAATTTTCTCATCTTCTATAAAAGCGAACGTTAATTGGGCATAAATAAAATGCCGCCGCAAGTAAAGTGTGCACAGAGAGTGCTCCCTAAACAGATTTGCAATCGAAAAACCTATCTCGGCTTTCGCTCACTTGAACTCAATTTTGCAAGCGGCCCGAGTGTCTGTCTGCAGATTAATTTTCATCTTTTCAATGGAGCTTAAGGCTCTGGAAACACGCAGAGACGAAACCATATTAAAGGCAGGACAGAGGAAGTGAAAACTTTGGTCCAACGGCACAACGAAACGACCAGCGATAAAAGCTGACTCCTCTTCCTATTGACTGGTTACCACTTCCGACGCAAACTCCATCCACCATTCACCATTCACCACAGGCAGAGCAGAGCAGAGCAGAGCAGAGTCAAAAGGTAGACCCCAAGAGGTA